ACTTTTTTTGCTGTAATTATTTTCAGTCGCTGTTTGCAGTATATAATTTCATTCTCCTCAAATTTTTTAGAAGTCATTTTTTTTTGCCCCACAATTGAAAAAAATCATTTAATTACCTGCACTTTAATAGCTGAATTTGTTTTCTTCGTACTTTTCAGTATATACTTTTTTTCTTCGCAATTTTTTTAAAATGTAATTATTTTCTTCGCACTTTGATACTTGTAATTGTTTTCGTAGGCACCGTCGAGTCATGTGGTAGTTGCTTCTGCCGAAACGATTAAGTAAATAGTGGCAATAAATTTTAAAGTCACATTTATGCTGACCCTAAAAATCAAAATTCATCACTATACCTCGACAAAAGTGCTTAAGTAAAACTGAAGCACAGAAGTAAGATTTTCTTTTCGTTTGTCTTTATCTTTTTGAATCATTAAAATTAATCAAAGTCATAGTTACCATCGTTTTTAATAATCTAAGATTATTTTATGAATACTACTGTGCTTGTTTTGTAACTTTTTTCTCGTTCACATATTTACAACCATAACTTTTTACATGATTCAGGAATTATTTAAGATTCTACAAAAGTAATATAAATTGCTTAAAGATCACTGAGTACGTATCAAAAGTTTATATACTAGTATGGACTCTCTCCCTTTTGTTGGTCAATCGACACTATTTTTGTTGTCATTTCTGTAAGTCCAAACTTTTTTCTTTCTGTTCAGTTGTTTAACTTACATTATACAAATAATTTGTAAAACTTATCTCAAATTATACCTGCTACACCGATATGATGTATTGTCATTATTATTTCTATAGTTACTTGATGTAATAAGATGCTAAATATATTTTGTATATTTGTTGTTCCTCTTTATCCTTGTCATAGTATACAGTGATAAGTTAGTTTTTTTTTGTATTTATGTATACACATGTATTTAATTTTTTGCGTTAATGATTTATCAGTAAACTGACACCCATGCAGAAATACTTTATCTTTTCCTCCAAAGAATACTATCACGGGTGCCCACAATATGGCACTATGAGTTTGTAGAAATTAGTTAGTGATTAAAATTTGTTTTAAGCTTTAAACTTTCAGTAACAGATACAAATACTATCAAAACAAAGCTCTCTATAGTTATGCTATCTCTGAAAATAAAACAATTATCTTGACGCTATTAGGAATTTATTAGCATAAGCTAATCGTTTAGTAAAAGTGATCGTCTGCAGTAGAGTCTTCGTAATTTTAACTAGATATGGCGATCCACGCAGCACTTACGTGACTGCAAACATTTTTTCGCAGCTAGCGCAATGATACGGGCGTAGTGGTAGTACAGATCATAAGACCAATAACTTCATTTGCGCATTTCGTGCATTGCTTATACAGTAATTTGACGCTGTAGTAACTAAACTATTTACCATAGTACTAGCATAAAACATAGTATGTATTACGGGTCGAGCCATATGCTCACTGTGGGCTAGAATTGCTCTTATAAAATGTGAATGAGTGTGACTTACGTTTTTGTGCATTTAAATAACCGTTGTGATGTATGTTGGTAAATGTAACAGCTGCTAGTAGTCTATAGATTTTTTGGTACACTACTATTTCGCGTTGCCCTTACCATTTTACCTATAACTAGAACGTTCTCCTTATGTTTTTTATATTATTGTACTATTTATCAAATTTTTATACTATTACTATGTAAAAAACGACTGTTTAGGATGAGCAGCTTTGAACAGCAAATGGAAGTTAGGATGAGCTATAATTCTCTCCAAGTAAGTCAAATTGGCTGTAGAGATCAATCAACGTTGATAACTCACATTAGAGCCTCTAGGCGTGGTAAGTCAGTGCTTCTCCTGGATTCCGATGCCACAACTACTGCTAGTGCCGCTGGTGGATAATATGGCAATGACTCGCAGCAGTGAAGGAGAGCCCGTTGTTAGTACAATTGTTAGATTCTCACACAGGTTAGACAACAGTTCCAGGTAATGCAGACAATGATGGCGAAAGTGGGTAAAGTGAGAGTCAGCACACTGAGTTTAACGTGGCATTAAGCTCTGGTATTTCATTAAAATTAATTAGTGCTCTAGCCACTGGCGTACCACAGGTCTTGTTGAACAAGGGAGAATCTAGCTTTGGCTTACGATTAAATGATCCGGGTGGATAATTTCAAGAAGTTAATCAGTCTTTCTTATAAACTATAAGCTACTTTTTTACGTGCAATGTTTACCAGAAACTAGTAGTTGCCACCCAGCGAGCGGTAGGTGGTACTATCAAACGCTGTTTATTTGAAAACAAATGAAACATAGCAGCTGTCACGCGAGCGGTGGAGAAGGAAGTCTTGCACGTCGAGCGCGCAGTAAATGACCCATTTTCATGTTTATTTTTCTTCGTATGTAGTCGGTATTGTTTCACACTGTTGTCCTGTATCCTCGCGTTAATTGGTAGACATTATCCAAGAGACGCAAGGTAAATCGAGGAAAGAGGGGTTGGCGCCGCCAACGGAGGAGATTCGAAAAATTGAGAAGAGGCGGTGGGGGTGTGGTCATTACGATGCTACAGTTGGTATAGAACGGTCGACAGTTTTCACTGTGATCTTGAATACTCACTGCTTTTATCGAATTTTCTTTGTTTCATCATGCAAAGTAAGTCTTCGCATAGTTTAAATACGGATCTCGCGTGTTTCGTATCACGCTTTTATATCCTTGATCCGTTATTATCGGTGTTGAGTCTTACCGTATTGACGTGTTGCGAGTGAACACGGCAAAAATTTGCATTAGCTGAACCGGTAATCGAAAGCGAGAACGGTGCAGACGCCCTTTTTACACGTAATTTACACATACTGTACACACACACATACGTATACACACACAGAGTTTTGTTTACACAATGAAGTTGTTTATACCTCAAATTAAAAATTTCGCATTCTGTCTAATATCGGTTGTTCATTTTTAAAGGGGGCTTTCTCTTTAGAGTTTCCTCCTTTTAGTCACAAATATATCTTTGTTATGGCTTTTAAACACCGTCTTCTTTATTTCACCTGATACCACCCTTTGCTTTGTCATACAAATCTCAAGTTGAGTCAATTTAGTAATTCTTGCTTAAAACGTATGCAAAAATTAGTGCTTACCTTAGTGTTTAAATACAGATTACTTATAAATTTGTATCGGGGTCTCCCGCATGTTCCTTGAAGTAAAAAATCAGCCAGCAACGTCCCATAGGCGTGGAATTCGTGCAAAAAGTCAAATGGATTTGCCTTTGTAGCGAAAAACCTACGGGCTGTAGAATTAGCTATGACTATCGTCTATGGTTGCTCGAAAAGCACCACCACGCATGAAATCACGTTTATTTTACAGATTGAGCCACATCTTTACCATGGCCTAGAGCCACCCTTACAAGACGTGAGCATGTTCCATGCATGGCTATTTACATTTGACTAATTATCGTAAAGTGAGTATGTTCTTATGTGTGGTAGTTGCTTCTACTGAAATTGTTTAATAAACAGTGGGATTAAAATAAGGAGTCATGCTTATGTCAAAGCTATAAATTAAAATTCGTGTCAATGCTCTAAAGAATGTGCTGACATTCAACTTAATGTCTGCAGAAGAAAATTGATTTATCGCTGCAGTCCAAATTTTTATTTCATAGCTGTAGCCACGCCTCCATTATCTGTGTCTAGTTAAAGTATAGTGCCATGCACGATACATTATACGTCTTACTGTTGAAGCTACGTCTTTACCGAGGACTAGAATCACTCTAGCAATATGTGAGCATGTCCTACGTCTTTCTAAGTATGTGTAATGGATTAATAGTAGTTAAGTAAGTACGTTACCACACCTGATGCAGCTATCACATCTTAGGTTTTATCAGGCCATATTTTTACAGTTTAAAATAAGAACATACAAAATTAGTTTTTCAAAATCGTTAACCGAAAGAGTAAAGACTGGGCCCTGAATTTGTAAGAATATATTACTTAGTCCTTGAGGCTCCAGAATTGTAACCTTAACTACTCTTACGCAACAGTGTAGCTTTCTTTGACTTTAATTATAATAGATTTTATGATGTATGTACTAATTAGAATAAAGAGAGAATTGCTGTGCAATAGTCTTGGAGATCTTTTTTTTTCTTTCTAATACTCAAAGGTCTCGCATGTCTTCCCTACTCATCACATTACCTTAGAAATGCTTTGACCTTGAGAAAGCAGGCTTATACTCATTACTACTGGAAGGGTGAATTCTCTCTCTTTTTCTATCTCTCTTTTCCTCTTTATTTTTTTAAGATCTCGTACGCTATCTCCTCCACTTAATAAGACATTTCATTCCCCTTCCTACCCGTCGTACCACCTCACAAATACTCATATATAACGCTTCTAACATGTCTCATTACTTATTACACATCCCACATAAATTTTTTGTTGATAAAATGCACCTCAGTAAAGTTAGGTACAGTAACAATGTTAGTACTTGCGTTTACTAAGGTGTTTAATGATAGTATAAGAAATCACTCAAATAAGCACCCTACCACGTTTTTTACAAGTCACTTCTAACCACATAATTTGGTCATTGGTGAAAACATTTTTCTCTAATCTACGTGAAAACTTAACACCATGAATTCATCGAATTCTTTTTATTTCAACGCTTACAGTGACTTCAAAATTTACTATATGTTAATAATTTGATATAGGTCTATACGCTTACAATCCAGCATACGATCTAAGCCTTATAAAAGTGAGAGAAAATTACAGGTCAAACAATCTAATTTCTAAGATAAAATAAATACATCTTACATAATTATGCTGGTGCTTACAATAAGAAACCTATATATTTCTATCACTTATATAACTCTATTATAATTAAAAAATTATAGAATAAAGACAATTATTCATACTAAGTTGAAGACATAGAATAAAGTCATGAAAATGAGATGATCGATATGTTGTAACTACATGAGAATAACTATTTTTAATAATGTTATGGTAGTCTTACACCAATAGAAATCTTATTTCTAGGTATTTTTTACCAGCTTTTATCCGAAGATCAAACTTTTGATGCTAGAAGTACAAGAAATGATCCTGCAACAAAGTGCCAGAGCTTATACACTATGCAGCCTTCAGAAATAGTAAAGTAAGTGCTAAGAACAAATTTGTTTTTAATAAAGAAGTAAAGTATTGAGCAGAATCAGCAAAAAAAATTTCCAACTTCAAAGATAAAAACCACTGTTTTAGTAAACACTTGACAAACATTTTGATGCTGCTAACTTATTATAATATTGTTAATTTTACTAATCATCATTGCTATTATTTATACCGTGCAGTATTGAAAAAAAATGTTTTCTACATTTTCTATTGTCATTATTATTATCTGTATCTTACCATTAACCTAAATTTAATAAGTCGTTATCCTTCGTCTCGACGGTTAACTTTTTATTTTTATTACAAAACGTCTGTAGCGCACCAGTTATTTTTAAATTAAAATTCTTTAAATTAGAGATAATAGTGGCACTATTTTACAAAAATTTCAGGTGCTTGATTTACACTGTTTGTAATATCTAGAAAAATAGTTTTTAATCCTTTTTTTTTCCTTACTATACTATTGTAAGTTATTATTAATGATTTTGAAATCTTAACAATGCTTGAATTTAGTTACATTAATTTTACTATACACTAGTAAGACTCATTAAAAATAAAAAAAACAAAATGTACAGCATATACATTTATTAGTAAGCATTTTTTTAAATAAGTAACGGAAAAGGAACAATTCTTTCTGCTGACAAAATTGAAAGTGTAATGGTCGCTCAGTCGATAGAAAAAGCAGGGTAAGTATACTAGCTCTTAACAATAGTTCAGAGTTGGATATTCCAAGATACGTGGATATAGAGAGACACGTAAAAAAAGTATATAAAAGCACAGTGCAACTTATCAGAACAAGTAAGCTATGTAAATTGAGAACCACCCTAGTGGCCAGTTGCTGGTTAAAAGTAAGTACTGAGAGCATGGCCTTTGTTTATCGTGATATACGCGTATGCGCATTATATTGGTTTAAAGGTACTAAGGCACGAGACTCTAAGCAATAACACAAATAATAACTCATAAGCATTAGAATGAAACAACAAATATTGCACACAGTTCTGAGGTTAATGGATAGAAGTGCCAAAAAATGAACGTCAACAAAATTTAAGAGCTATGGATGGATTTATTACTAACACCAATCACATAAACAGAAACAGGAAGTATCATCATATATAAAATCTGAAAGTGGAAACAAGTTAATTAACTAAATGATTGTCAAATCATTTAGAAAATTAACGTCAAACAAACTTTAAACTTATCATTTAGCTATTCTAACTTAAGCTTGTTCAGGGTATGCAATAAATTTAATAGCTGTATTGACTAAATGAAATTAATGTTAACGGTTTTAATTAAGGCAACTTTGTCAAAGGACTTGGCAACTTTAAAAACTTCAACAAGTCTGCCTAATGGCTATTTTCTAGGTGAAGACAACTCATTTTTCATGAGTATGAGGTTGACAGGCTGAAAGGAGCTCTTAGGAGTTAATTTTTTGCAACAATGGTGAAAATTAGTAGCTAAGGAGACTACGTTTTTTTGAATCCTTAACAAAATTAACTCACTATTTTTTAAGGCTTTAGTGGCAATACTTTTTCTTTAAAAATCTGGCTATGATCCGAACAAAAATACCTTATGATCAAAAGACGAGTGGATGTAATAGTGTCAAGCTCAAAAGCGTCACTGTAAAAACGTGCTAAAGTACTTAGTTTGAGATCTACATACATCCAACACAATAAAGTAGAAAACTTCATAACTGTCTTGACCTGCTCTCCCACTAAACGTTTAACTTCCTACTTCGATGATCTTACTGCTGACTTCCATATACCTTTGAATTATAAAGTAGGTATAGGATTAAAATATTACAAAGTACGTGTCCGACTCAACTCACGAACGAACAAAAATTGACCACTGCATTTGAAAGACATCTTCTCTAATTTAATATCAGCACTAACGGAATTTGTAATGGATCACTAATTAAATCGGTACAATGACAACATGTCTAAACGAACCAGTGAAGAACAGCAAAAAAAGTCTTGGTACAATAATCCTCAAAAATTTTGAGGTGTTCTGCACGAGTGGTCATACAAAACAAAAAATCCGCAATACATTCCTTTAGGGAACTTCCACCCTTATGCTATGATAAATATATAGAAAATAGCTCTGCATTATCTATAACAGTTCTTAAAAAAGTTGAAAAGAAAGTTATACGAGATTTAGGCGGATCACTCATTAACTACAGTATGGTCTGACCGATTTTTTTTAATAGACCACTAATACCCACTAAACCCCCCTCACATACCACGAGGCTTTAGTTCCACCTCAAAACCACGTTAGCATTATTTTTGGGTGCAGCAACCAAAAAGATCATCGTATATCACAGCCTTAGCGACCAACATAACCACCACTTGCTAGAGAGGTGTCAATTCTCCCAAGTCCTAAAAAAGTCTCAGGGTTCCTAAGGGCCAACGTCTGTCATCCAGGCGCACTTCATTGTAGGCTGAACTATTTTGCAAATACCACTGAATGCCTAATGCTTTTTCTTGCTGATAAATAAATGTACTTTGTGCTGCCTGAGTCCGCATGAAACTTTACCTACCGTAGAGTCCATATTACCTTTGATGGCATACTTAGGGTCCCTTGCCTTCTGTACCATGGCTCTCTCCTCATTTTTCTTCGGCATGACTCAAGCTTACTTACGATATTCGTATTTGGATGGTGGCGAAAAAGGTCACTTTTTTGTGTTGTTAGACTTTCATCATGCCTTTTATTCCACTAACTATGCAGAACTACAGAGAATAATGGGTCGTGTATGCTCCATGAAGGAAGCGTCGCATTGATTCAATGACTATCTTTCAGGATGTTCACAGTTGGTGATAAGCTTGGATGGCACCAAGTCAGAGTTTCTTGCATCGTTGTTAGATGTAGCCAAAGGCTCATCTATCGGACCTGTGCTGCTGGTTTTTGTTTAAGTAGAATTTTTTTCATTCTTCTTTACACATCAGGTGTTCAAAGCGCTGACGATTGACAGCAAATTTTTCAGCCTTTTATGCAAGCCTGCGAAGCTGGAACTGTTTATTCCACGGTTCAAGGACTACATCAGCAGGATTGTAGGGTAAGTAAAAGATTGTAGGCTACAGTTTTATTGCGGTAAGTTGCGTGCTGTCTTAGATGGTACTAGCCAGAATATTATGTACATAAATGTGAATAAAGGTGCACGAGATATCTTTCAATAAAATAAGATAATCTTTTTAACACAGTGATTGCATTTTTTTAAGATATACTTCTATAGGTGCGTTATGCGCGAAGGTAAATCAACGATTTCGGATTTTGACCTTGATAAAAAGTGAATTTTGCTTGATTCTCACCCTTTGCCTCAACCCCTACGACGTACTCTTAGTTTTCTTAACACTACATGACATTATCACCCCTCACATTTTGAAATTTATAAATTTTACTCCTTTTTCTTTCAACTAATACTACAAAAAAAAAAAAGAAAAAAAAACATTTTTTAAAGCAACTCGAGCCCCGGACCTTCTGCGCCACTGGTCAAGGCCCTTACTCACTTTGCTATGAGCATGCCCAACATGTGAATCTTGATTACTTTATTTTGTTGTACAGTTAATTGCTTATTTATAATATAACTTTTTATTTACTGTATATTAACTATAACGTATTATATTATAATTAACATTTATTCCCTTATTATCGGTTTGCTACTATGAAATAAATGAGTAACTAATATAAGACGTCCAATGACAAATGGTTGAAAATTAAAATAATGTCCAACGGTGATACTGTCAATTTTGTATTTATTAAAAAACAAAACGACGTTTCAGCCGTTTGGACAATGTCCCGACCCTCATCAAGTACAAAAATCTATTAGTAATAAAAAAATTCCTTACAATACAGATTTTGGTAAATACTATAAGCACAAATTAAGTAAAGTGTATAGTTTACCTCTGGCTTTTATGAGAAGGATGTAAAATCATAATGTAGTCAGAGTTACAATTTTCGTTGCTTTTATACCCTGCACATACAGTAATGACACAGTATGCACACATAATACAATCAAATGAGAATTGCAAGCAGTTCCTTGTGAGACACACGTAAACAGATCTTGTTATCCTTATACCATAAATGAAAGGGGCCCTCAAATCATGTATAACAAGTAAGCCTTCTTTCTTAATTTACTTAACGAGAGACTTGTAAGAATTTTTAATTTTTCTGGATCTTGTTGTTTTTTAATATTATTATTTAAATAATGTATACTTAACATTTTGAAAAACAGGCTCTTTTTATAATTTTCCTGTGTCAAAGATTTTTATTTTATCAAAATTAAAGTTGTGTGTAATGCTAGGTTGTGATAGTACAGATGTATCCTTTTTTTCTCTATGTCTCTTTTATGTTCTGCCATTCTTTATTTTACATCTCTCGATGTTTGACCAATAAGATTCAATTTATTGTTTAAACTGTATACGAGACCAATGTGGAGCTTCTTACAAAAATGTTCAATAGGACCATGCAAATGGGAAATATACGGTAATGATAAGATTAGTTCATAATAATTATTGTTACTATTGCAAAGGTTAATCATGTTTATGCTTCACTTAGAAAATATGTAACGGAGCCACTGAATAAAAATCATGTCGCTTACCATATACCATGTGCAAATTGCATCTGCTGTTATGTTGGTCGAAAATCGAGAGCTGTAAAATTAAAAATGGCAGAACATGAACGAGACATGGAGAAAAAAAGGGTATATCTGTAATTTTACAACATAGCATTAAATTTACATACAACTTCAATGTCAATAAAATGAAAGTTTTAGACACTAAACAAGATTAAAAAAGGGCCTATTTTCCGAAATGTTAAATATACATTATTTCAATGATAATATTAAAAGACAACAAGATACAGAAAAATTCAAAAATTTTTACAAGTCTCTCGTTAAGTCTATTAAGAAAAGAGGCTTACTTGATATACATAATTTGAGGGCCCCTTCCATTTACGGTATAAGAATAACATGATCTGTGTACGTATTTCTCACAAGGAACTGTTTTCGATTCTTATTTGATTGTGTTGTGTGCCTATACTGTGTCTTTTGTGTATGTCCAGGGTATAAAAGCATCGAAACTTAAAACTCTGACTACATTACGATTTTACATCTCCTTCGTTAAAGTCAGAGGTATTCTATACACTTTACTTCATTAGTGTTTATTATATTTACCAAAATTTGTATTGTAAAGAATTTCTTTATTGCTTGCAGATTTTTGTATCTGATGAGGGCCAGAACATTATCCAAACGATTAAAACGTTGTTTTGTTTCTTAATAAATACGAAATTTGACAGTACTGCTATTGGACGTTATTATTATAAATAAATAACTGTTTACACAACTCTTTATACTTATTAAAAATTTTCTAAAATTAAAAAAAATTTGTTCGTAACGCAAAAATACGGTAGATAAATTTTATTGTATTTTTTTCTATTACAATTTTTCCATTCGTAATTAAAGTGATATCGTAACTTAAGGACGTTTTTTACATAGTTACTAAGTGGAGAAAAAGTTTAGAAAAGTGAGAGAGACGCTAATGTGTGCAGTAAAGCTAGAAATTGTTTATCTTATGTGGATGTACTCATATACATGCTTTAACGCATACTTTATCACCTCTTTCTAAATTCATTTGGAAACGAACTTGTGTCTCTATTAAATAATTTAATAGGTTCATCTAAAAGTCATTTTTTGTGTTTCAAAAATCAGGAGATTTCTACAAATCTTATGAATGCCATTTAACGTCATTTTCTCATAAGGTTATGTGTCAAGTATCGATTTCTTAGAATGTAAGATTTATAAAATAACGCCACAATGAAAGAGGCTGCAATTTTTGTGAGTATTTTTTATGTTATTTCAATATACGTTTGCCGTTTAAATAATACCTGACAAAAAAACCTATGGGGATAAACGTACTGAAGGGCCATCACTGGTATGAAATACAACCCTATTGAAGAAAACTATACTAGAGGATGATTTTTCTTAATTTTCTATATACAATTATATAATTGGTGCTTAAAATGAACAAGAAAAAGTTGTGGGGTCAGATGTGATAGATGTAAGCATGGCTATACAGATGTAATCAGTATAGGCTGTACGAAGTTGTTTTCAAATCACCAGAAGATTTGATAAAAGCGCACAGTCTTCTACTGGTCAGCCTATGTATTTTTATATTGTATTTCCGTAATATCTCGCTAATAATCATTCAGTCGATAAATATTAAAATACTTGTTAAAACCTTGACCAATTTATGTAGGTATACTCATTCTAACGACAACTGCACCATTTTTGTACACAATATCGTTTCATGAAAATTAAATTTATATTTATATGTATACTATTTGCAATATGATTTTATAGAATTAAAACTTTTCACTTTGGTACCCAAGCATTCACTGTCCACTGATTTTTTTTAACCTCAGACGGGATGTCTCAATGGGCCAATGCTAAATGAGATTGAGATGGCTCCACCCAAGTATCAGAAGGACTGTTTTTAGTGGTAAGGACTGACAGAGTCTTAAGTTCGCAGGAGCCACAATACCTGTATGAACTTTTTCCATCGGCAAGTGAGAGACTTAGTCATTCAGATCAACTCCCTCGGTGTGATTTACAATGCACCATAGGCCTTATTAAATTTTTATGCTGCATGTTTTTCTTAGCATGGTATAAGGCTCTGAGATTAAAATTCTGCAATAGTTAGGAAGAGGGACTCGCTTAAAGCTTTGAAGGTAGCATGCTACAAATATTTGTTCTTGCAAGGTTTAGTCAATCAGAAAAAATGATATTTCTCATATGTCTCATATTCTATGCATTAACCACTGTAATGTACAGCATAAAATGCGGTGGTATGTATAGTATTAAATGTGCTTTGTAACTGGCGTTTCTCAGTACTGCGAATGAAACTGATACGTTCGAAATTACGATCTTTATAATTAATGTTTTATACGTTTGTGTGTCTAAACGTGTAGGTATATGTACATGTATGTTGTTTACTTAGAATTCGAAACTGATTTCCTATTTTTATATTATCACTCATTTGCGTCTTACTATCGATTCTGTAAAAAAATCCTTGTTATAAAGCTTATAAATCCTTTGCTATTCAGGTGATACTACCCTTGACATTAAATATTTTTACTTCGACTCAAATCCAATTTCTTTTTTTGAATGATATACCCGAAAAAACTATCTATTACACTTCACCTTTTTTCAGTACGTAGCATCTCAGAGATGATAGTTGCAGAAGTGGTTGCCATGTTGACATTGTCTAACAGCTACTGGCACTCTCAGTACCATCTTTTGCAAATGTGAAACGTATGATTGGTGGTATCATTTAACGCAGGGCAGTAAGTGCATCTAGGTGATACTATCACTACCAAGCAATAAAGATAGGCATAAAATTGAGCATCTTGAAGAGGAACTAGGTGAACTAGTAGTGTACTTGTCCGTGTCGTTTCTACATTCATGGTAGCAAATACGGTGTCAACCAGCAGGTCCATTTACACAAAGGATTCCACTGCTGTTGCCACGTCGTTAACGTTTTTTCTTGCCTTTTGCTATCGCTTTCATCGCTGGAGCCCAGAAACTTGTTTTGCCACTCCAGCACAAGCAATTTAATAAAAATCGTTTGTGCTATCACGATAGTGATAGTGCAGAAGACTGTAAGATAGGTGCAGGCAATCTTTAAAAATCTGATCTGCTGCTTTGAAGTAGGGTGCTCTTGGATGTCACTTTTCGCAAGAGAGTTTGCCCATACCTTTACGCCACGTTGTACAGTAGCATCAAGTTTGAGGCCAACGTAAAAAATACATCTTTCAACTTTCCGTGTGCCACTCACTTGTATAATTGACCGTTAAAGCGCCCCAGAGACCCTACCAGTTCTATTAACTTCTTCCATTATGTTGTCCCAAAAGGTGAGCCATAGGTCAATCCACTATCCTGGGTAGTGCACCACTGATCTCAAGCAGATTACTTCACCTGAATTGTTTAAGTGGAAGTGCTTCCAAACCATTTCTGCCTGATAAGAAGAACCATATTCATCTTTTATATCTGTTTTATAAATATGCTAGATGGTAGTGTGTCAATAATACTTTATTTGTTAACAAATAAGTGAATATACAGACCAATAGAAGCAAAGGTTGATCTGGATCATAAGATCTCCTCTCAGAATACTCAGAGACCCAACGAGAGCGTGCCTACACCACAATGGCCATGTTCTGTCTAGCTTTACTGTATTGCTGTACAAAATACATATACAAATTATCTCGCATTTAGTGTTCATGCCCTACAGTAGATATCTCTAGTTATGTACATTTAATATAAATTAGCTTATGTTCTAACATGCCTTCTTTACCTTATATTACATTCTTATTTTTGTATCGTTAACTTATTTACATTTGACATATTTCTAAATCTTTTTAACTTAATTCTGCCTAAGTCTTTGTTGAAAAAATTTGCTATATTCTCTTCTAAATCAACTTTGACATCATCAATTTCGTATTCCGCATTTCTTTCGCTTACAATAAGACAATAAGAGTAAATTCGATTTGACTTTTAATTGAAATTTAACAATCTAGCTTTATTTATTGCAGCAAAACATTTTTAATATTTGATAGTTAAATCATTTTGTTCAATATTAAAATAAAGTCACAAATCTTTACAACGTTTAATTCAGACAATACTACAAACTTAGCTCATGTCGAGGACTCTATCACACTATTTTACTTTCAAGATTTCTAATAAATTTTATCACTATACGTTCGTATAACATCGTGTGTCATTAATTTTTTAGTATAACTATCTCCTGCCCAATCAGCATCAACGTAGCCATCCACAACATAATTAATAAATCACTATTTGAGAGTTAATTAAAAATCGTTTTTTAAATAGAAACATTTTAAAATTTTGAAGGCATATTCATCATAAACATTATCATGACAGTTTTAAAATCCATTTAAATAAATACTAAACACTGAAACTAATATCAGGTCTAGTGCCTGAACTAATGTATGTCAGAGCTCTAATCAAATTTCTGTACTTAATTTCATGACATGCTGATTGAACAGGTTCCAGTTTTAAATTTTTTTACAAAAAAGTTAAACGATTCCGTGTCAAAATTAAAGTATTTGTTTGTAAGTGTTCCAATATAGTTTTTTTGATCAAGAGTCATTTTTCCGTTTCCATTGGTTTTCACAGGTGGTGCTAATACTCAAATAAGTTTTTATTTCTCCCAAATCTTCTATAGCAAATTCTTTTATTGATTGTTTTGTAACAAACTTAAGTTTTTCTTTAATTTTACGACAGATTTATAAGTCATCTACAAATAGAAATTACATTAATTTATATATTTGTCGTTCCAGATGTATGAGCAACAATTATTTTTGTTTCTATAAGGAATTATTTTTTTTAAATAAGTATAAAAACACTTAGATCAAGCTCTTGGGCTTTTTATTGATTTATACAACGCTTTCTCTTATGTTAATAACCTATAAGATCAAACTTTATAGCGTTGCGGCTGTTTTTCAAACACTCAAGATTCTACCTTTTCAATATAC